TTATGCACATATTACTTAAATAATATCAGTTTCGGCTAAGTATTCAGGTCCGTCGAAACTGTGCTATTGCTGAGATGTTTTAGTATCAGCCTAGCGAAAGCCGGACAGTGGAGGAGAAAGTGCCGAGATGTTTCCACCACACCCTCCACCATACAACTTTGGCAACTATAATCGGGTAGACCGTACCGTATAAGTACCCATTGGACAGTGTCCAGTGAGAACTCCTACCATAGCGGCGAGATGCACTTTGCTCAGAGCGAGAAGTTCCACGACCTCTTGATCCAGAGCTAGAATGCAAGACGTTAATGGAGATCCAACTCGATCCCATCCCGATGTGAGTGGGGCAAGGGTGACCCCCCTGGCTAGCTCATCAGCTTTGCAGTTTTCAGCGATTCTGCTGTGACCAGGCACCCAAACGAGTCTGATATTGAAGTAGCAAGATGCTTTGTCTGAACGGTTCGCGCGCTCAGAGCTAGTATTGCCACCCTATTGTCGGAGTGGATGCTCACTTCTCTAAACGAGGCTCCACTACGTAGCAGTGATTCTCCCGCCACCTTGAGAGCAGCCACTTCCGCCTGAAAAACACTACAGTGGTCCGGTAGCCTAAAGCTAAGATTGACGGAGAGCTTCTTGCAGAAAACCCAGAAAATCCAACCTTCCGTCCTAGCTTCTATCCATCCTTGAAAAAGCTTACCGCATCTCTTCTTCCCATCCACATGTCCCTCGTCGGAATATAAGCAGAAAAAGAGCCGCCTCGAGTGGCCTCAGTGACGCAGTGATTTAAATTTTGCGGAATGAAGCTGAAAGAGGAAAGAATTTCGGCGTGTCCTTGTTCGGGCCTCTTCATAAGCCCAGCTTTCATGAGCCTTAGAGCACACTTCGCAGCAATGCACCTACCGGCAATGTCCACAGGTGCTATGTTTAAAATAGCATTAAGAGCTATTGTAGGTGTGGTCCGCAGTGCACCGGAGATTCCGACAAGCGCCACTATTTGGACCCGCTCAAGCTTTTTAGCCAGTGTGGTCCTTTCGAGCGCCCTCCACCAGACAAACACTACATAGAAAATTATTGGCTTGACTACAGTTTCGTAGAGCCAGAACACCACCTTAGGTGAGAGTCCCAACCTTTTCCGTATAGCCACTTTGCAGCAATGTTTGGGCTCAACGAAAGTTTTCTATTGAGGATAAGCCGTAGGTATTTCACTTTATCAACAGGTTAAACCCCCAAAAGAGGGGAGAGGTACATTTGGGATCTTATACCTCCTAGTAAATAAAACCATGTCGGTTTTACTTGGGTTAACGGCTAGGCCGCTTCTATTCGCCCAGTTAGATAAAACGTTTAGGTATCCTTCGGTAAGCTCGTAGACGGTATTTAGGAATTTTCTTTTAACCATAAGAACCACAACATCAGCATAGGCTGTCACTCGCTTTGCTCCTCGAGTTCTATAAGATCCAGTTGACAGATAATTAAGCAGCTGAAAATTTTTTAACAAAAAATCTAAACATTTCAATTTATTTTTTACTCATAAAAGAGTGGGTAAATATTATATTAAAGTGGACATTAGCTTTGATTTATATTCCTAGGAGAGAAATGTTGGAATAAAAGCTTTCGTGATAACTTAAGCTCATTGAAACTGCTCAACACTAAGTAAGACTTAGTATTAATTACAACAAAATGGCTCCTTAATAAGTTATTTTCACTTCCTGTATTTAAATATCCGCAACTCTCTATTTCCCTACCATCTCTAGATACCACAAATGCAGTGAAAATTACTTTAAAGTTGAGCCGGGGCATCCTTCTAAGTAAGGTGGAACAGGATTTGTGCGCAGTAGATTAAAATCTAATTACTGAAAGCGCTACAAAAATATAGTTGGCCTTGAGTTTTAGTACTTACAAAATAGTGGAAGTAAGAACTATGATTAATCTCTATAATTCTCTCACCCACAGCATGGTAATCAAAATATAAGATCCATGGATTTGACAGGCTGTGCCAAGTAGCGATTGAAACAAACAATACCGGTTGCAACTGCAGTTTCCCTTGCATTTTCCCTTAATTTTGAATAGTGTGCGAGTCAAATAATTATATGTGCAATTCTTCAACATAAATTATTTCTAAAAGAAAGAATGAAGGAATGTGGGATTTTTTGGCATTTATAATTAAAAGATCTAAACATTAAACAACAAAAT